GGAGCGGCGTTTGCGCTTCCTCTTCCCCCGGTTCCTGCGGCCCGAGAAGCAGGACCAGGCCCGGGCGGGCTGCGCTGAGCGCGTCCTCCACGCACGGGGCGGGCTCCGATCCCACGGGTGTGGAAACAGACCCAGGCCTGAGGCTGGTGCGTGGGGCAGCCGCGAGGGCTGGGAGGCAGGCGAGGCCCGTTCGGGCTCTTCCCGCTGGGTTCCCGGCGCCGGCTCCCCCGTGACCCCCGCTGGCCCTGCCCTTGGCGCCGGCTCTGTCGCCCGTGGAGGGATGTGAAGTCCTGGAGTGCCCCCGCCCGAGAAAATGGAGAGGAAGTGTCCACAACACATTCTCCCGTCCTTCTTTATGACTCTGACTTGGTTTCTTACGAGAGAGAGAGATTGATTTCCTCTGTAAGAAACTCTGCCTTGACCAAGTTCTTAGGAGCGCCTTCGTAAGTGTGGGGTGTGGATGTCTCTTGCACAACTCGTGAGGAGGCCCAGAACATTTCTGCTTTACCAAGCTCATTCTAGCCGAGGCCCAGGCAGACATGGGGGGAACGGCCTGTAAAGTAACTTTATCCACGAGCATCTCAAACTAAAACCTAAGAAACCTGCCCCTTCCTTCTCCTCATCCTCTCCTAGTATTTCCCTCGGGGATGGCAACTGCGAAGCAGGTTGACCTTCCCCCTAAGCCCTCTGGAAGTGGGAGGAAGTGACCCAGCAACTTCAGGAAAGAGTCCCACAACTCTTCGTTCCACAACTCTTCACTGCTGGCTTCACTATTGGGAGGTATTTAGGCTGGGCTACTGATTTCTCCTTAAAAACAAAAATCCAGACCTGGCACGGTGGCTCAAGCCTGTAATCTCAGTACTTTGGGAGGCTGAAGCAAGAGGATTGCTTGAGCCCGGGAGTTTGAGACCACTCTAGGCAACATAGTAAGACTTCCTCTCTACCCAAAAAAAGAAATTAGCCAGGTGGGGTGTGCATACCTGTGGTCCCAGCTACTTGAGAAGCTGAGGTGGAAGGATCACCTGAGCCCAGGAGGCTGCGGCTGTGGTGAGCCGTGATCGTGCCACTGCACTCCAGCCTGAGTGATGGAGTGAGACCTTGACTCAAAAAACAAAAAAAATTAAACATAATAAAAATTAAAGATCCAGAATGCCATTTGTCATTTTTATTTCTGAGAGACAGTTTCCAGAATAACATGCTTGTTTCCCCCACAAAAATGGCACTGTTGTCAAACTCTCCCTCCCGGTGCCTGAAATTCCTCTAGCAGTTCATTCATCTATATTAGATTGTCTCTTCAAGTATTCTCCTGATACCCAAGTTCTCTGGGATGGTCGGGAGGAAGAAACAGCAGTGCAGGAGCACATGGTTGGGTGGGTGAGTACAAGGGGGCGCGGAACTGAAACCAGAAGGGGAGGAAGAGAAGGAGTTAGCAGAGAAAGACAAAACTAGTTTTCCCAGGGTCAGCCCAGGCACAGCATTTTGTGATCTTTATCATTAATGGTTATCAGAACCAACAGGCAAAAGTTAGAGGTCAAGAGGAGTAGAGAGATGATGTGAGAGATATACCCTTCTCCTCTTTGGGGTCTTAGTTAATAACTGATTTCTGTTTAATGATTTACAAGATGCTTTTACACCGCAAATCCATACGCTCTGCACACACTCCCATTTGGCAGGCAAGGCGGGGGGTGGATTGGACCATTTAGTAGGTGAAGAGAGATTTCAGGGAGCAACCAACGGCCACATGGTAAGCAAGGTCTTGACTCCCGATCAGATGCTTTTTTTAAATTCACACAAGACTGTGACCATGGCTGAGAAGCCAGATACACACAAGAAAATAGAGCTCACATCCAACGGTCTGATGAGGACAGGGCTGGAGGTATAAACAAGAAGTGCTGCCAGGGAACAGCGAAGGGGTGAAAGATCGTCCAGGCATTTGGGTCACTTCAAGCCCAGCCTTGAACTGGCATTCTGAGTAAGACTCTGCAACTCATTTGGCCTTTGGAGACTGGTCTCGTTAGGCCTGGCTTTCCCTCAACCTCAGGACCCTTTTAAACTCTCCTAATGGGTGAAATTGGATTTTCTACACATGTCCATGATTTAGCCGGAATGCCTCTCCTGGGTAACTTAACACCTCCACCCTATTAAAGCACACATACCTCAAAAGACCCGTAAGGCAAGTATTGCTCAAGCAACCCAAGAACAGAAGTAAAAGCAGTTTCCTCTCCCATGGATGTATGCCCAAGCTGTCCGGCCCAGGGCGCCCTTTTCCTACTAAGCTGTCATATGGCTTTTATCTTCTATTTATAATATGCCATGTTTGTTTTATTACTAAAGTCTCTTCTGTCTCCTCAAATCTTTGAGTAGACTTCTTGTTCCAGAAGGAAGGGCTTCGTATACTTGTTGGCACACCTACGTATACCCCTGTGGGTACCTACACCCCAGTCTGAGAAGCAGTCTTTGGTAATTTCAGGCCTGCAGCCAGAATGCTATTTCACCGTCATTTCCTCACATGGGAGAGCTTTAACCCAAGCCCAATGGTATGATCTGTTCTCACTTGTTAAGTACGATTCTGTGTATGTTACCCCCACAAAAGTAAGTTTTACAGAGAGTCAGACCTATCCATATGACATTCGGAAAGAGGGATAGATAAAGACAAAGCTAGAAGAGAGATACTCGTAGGCAGCTGTGAGAGGTACAGAGTCACAGAGTTTAACAGGAACGCTGTATACAGATTCACTAGCTAGGATGAAACAGAAACGGAAAACACCTCATTTTACAAGGAAGCATTTTAGGCTCAGTGAGGTTAAATGACTTGGTTAAGGTCACCACCAAGTTTATGGAAAATTCAGGACTAGAACCCATATCACAGTCTGTTTACTCCGTAATGTATAGAGCCGTGCAAGAGTCAAAGCTAATACCGTAAATAAATATTTACATTTTCCTAAAGAAAAATGTAAATGATAGGCCCTGGAATGGAAAAAGTAAGGGGTGCAGTTAAATAGAGGCCAGGGCTGCAAGTACAGCCAAGCATACTGGAAGATAAACAGTCAACTGAAGTGGTAGGGACACGTAAATACAGGGTGGGACACTTAAATGGAACCATTTGGAGTCATGTAAACCAGGACTGGCTTCATTGTAGCCTCGCTCATGGTACAGATCCACACGTCAAAACTATTTGCTTCGTCTTTTGACAAATGTGTTCTCTCACAGAATCCAGGAGGAATACGAGAAGGGCTGAGATAATCTGGGGGCAGCCTGGAGGAGGCCCTCTGAAGCTCAACGTGAAGCATGATGGGTGGGAAAACTATTAAGGAAAGGGGGTTCAAAGCAGAAGACAAAGAAGATTCTGGCAGCAGTGTTTACCTCCTACATCTCCAGCTGTGTCTCACTCCACTAGCAACACTTAACAGGCACTGCTCCTTCCTACCTCAGGATCTTTGCACATGCTGTTCTTTCCATCTAGCTTGCTTCTCCCTGCTCTAACAAACCCTTTTCTCCTCCCTGACTCCGTCTCATCCTTCAGATCCAGCATACAAGGCCTGATTTCCTCAGAAAACCCTTCATGGTCTTCCGTTACCTTCTCTCAATGCCACCATATATTTTCTTCATAGCATTCATGACATTTTGTAATCACATATTTCTTTGCATAGTTAACCTTTACTGAAATGTCTAAAACTTCCATGAGACTATAAGCTGAGAGCAGGGCCTGTATTCACCCCCGTGCCTGGAACACAGGAGGTGTCCAATCAATGAATGACTGGGGAGACTGCGGTCTTGGAAGAGTGACAGAGAGAATGGGCCACTGCTCCCCCCACTCACCCAAAAGGCAGGCAAAGTGCGTCTCTCTGGGCCCAGTCTCAGTTACCAGGGTCTGATCTTCTCTTTTTGTCTCATAGACATATAGACATGTTTTCTTTCTCTCTTTCTGTCTCTCCTTTGTTCTAGCTTCTTGTGAGAGCCTTTAAACCAGCAAAGAGATAGTATCTAAGAGAAAAGGAAGGATGTTTAAGGCCCTGTGATACTGGAGTCCCCCCAGCAGGCATGTGGCAGCAGGGGGCAGTGGCACCCTGGGAGCAACTTGCAGAGCCAGGCGCTCACTCGCTCGGGTGCTCTCTCTCTCTCTCTCTCTCTCTTTCTCTCCACAGCAACCTAGGGTCAGCAGCAGACGAAAGCCACAAAAACTGACTTTAAAAGTCCTCCTAAGAGCTGCATCTTTCGAGTCCCCAAAACAATCGCGCCTTGTGCCCCAGGACACGGTGCGAGTTACACACTTAAATCAGTTTCCACAGAACCGCATTCAGTTAGTTTTAAACTCTGGGGAAAGCTGGCAGCGTCTTTGTGGGTTTTTTTTTTTTTAACTAGTTAGAGGGACAATTAAACCTTTATGGGCCCCAGAATGTACCTTTGCAGACATAAATAAGGATCATTCTTCATCACTGGAGAATCCACTTTCTGGCAACAGATCTGTTTTTCTGCCATCGCAGGACAGAGTTGAGCTCACGTCTGAGAACCCTTATGATGGGGACAGGTGACGGGCCTCCGCATGAACAGAGTTAGAACTTCGACC